TGGCAATGATAATCGAAATCGTGCATGCTGCAAAGGCGATTTATATGATGATGTTGCTGCTGATGATGATGTTGATGATGATACGCTGACGAATACGATTGTGAACCTGATACTGGTGAGCACGATACTTGCATAGCGAAGCGCTACAATGATGAAGATCATCACCAATCAAAATCGTCAGCATTCCCCACCGACCCACCACCATCACTCACCATCGTCATCGTCACCGCCGTCATCATCAGCATCATCAACATCATCATGGCCGTCGCCATCACCTTCATCATCATCATCATCATCATCATCATCATCATCATCATCATCATCGTCATCGCCATTATCGCCGTTATCGTCACCATCATCGACGGCCATTTTGGCACACCCTTTCACACGTGCCGTGGCCCCATAGGGAGCCCCACCAAAGGCACCAGTGGCGCCGTCCGCACGGCGGCGCCGCCCTACTTTGACACACCCCTCACACGGTTCGTGACCCCAAAGGGAGCTCCACCTACGGCCCCAGCGGCGCCGTCCGCATGGTTGCGGACGGCGCAGTCCGCAGTGGCCCCTACGGCCCCAGCGGCGCCTATGTATGCCCCATATGCCATACGTGTAATCTCATCGCGCTGCCCCAAACAGTGTTTGCAACCATGCTACACAACATGCGGCACCCATCAAAGATCACGACAACACAGACCACCGCCACCCCCCAAAAAAACTGGCACAACTTAGACAATATGCCCAAGCACAACCATGCTGCCCAGTCATGGAGGAGGGTGGGTGGACGAGGCGGAGGAGATGGATGGGGCAGCCAATCATCCTTCGAGATGGCCCCTAGGGTGCTCTAAGAGGCGCCCTGAAAACTCCCAAGAAGTTGCACGTCGGAGGCCCAACACAGCGAACTAGAATGCACACGGTCATCACTGAACTTTGCACGTGCACCACTACAACGACATTATTGTGCCTGGTGTGAGTGTGGTAGTGATCGTGTTGGCGATGGCTCAGGTGGTGATGGTGGCAGTACTGATCTTACGATGGCGCCCACGATGATACCGATGTTGACGCAGATGATGGTGACGCTGGTGTGTCTGCCGATGCCGATGATCATGGCGATGGTTGTGATGGTGGGGGTGGTGGTGGCTAGTTAGTAAGGCGGGTTGTGCATTGAAGCCGCGGCCGAATTGAAGTCGCAGCCGTAGGTTAATAGTTTAGAATCTGCATGCGCAGTGCTGCTAGTAATAGTTTAGTAAGTAGTCAGTAGCTTAGCTGAGTGCAGTGGGTACTTTATGTAAGTAGTTTCGGAATCTAGTGTAGTTTGGTTAATGGTTCAGTTCCTGGGTTAGTCGTTTACACCTACAAGCACACGTACGCAGCAAACGTTTGCAGCGATTGGCAAGCAAACGTTTGACGCGCATGTGTGTTCGAAGCGCGATTTACACACGATCGAGGGGCGCAAGAATCGGTCGTGAAATACCGGGATTGGAGGACGCTCGCGTCGTCGGTTTTCGGGAGCGAACATGCCGAATAATCGGTCGCGAAATACCGAGATCCCGAATCTGAATCCCAGTATCGGCATCACGCGCACTTCGTCTTGCAATACCGGGATTGGACCACTCGTTTTGATTTTCGGTCGCTCCCCATCATGCAAACTCGCTACCGAAAATTTTCGGTAGCGCATCATCTGGGAGGATGATCAAGGAGGCAATCAGGGAGATCAACGACCCTGAGGCGACCTACGACTGGAACACCGACCCATACGCGAACGACAGTACAGAGCACGACCAGGTGATGACCTACTTGTCCAGATCGCTGGACAACTACATGGGAGAGGCTGCCAAACAACCTGCCGACACGTTCGGGAGCATGGGCATGACGGACAAGCAGAGGGGCCTGCCGCGATTCATAATCCACCAGCTCTGTAGCATCACCTCATACCCAGTGGCCAATTGCCAGTGGCCAGCGACAATATGAACCTGCCAAACCCCTACTGCGCAAAGTTGGAGCGTGGGGACCTCCTCACCTACATCAAGCAGGGAGTACGCTACAATCCCACGGGCATGCCCACGCCGTTCGCGACGTCAGCGTACCAGAGGGCCATCGCCAACCACCAAAGGAACGACCCGATCCACAGCCAGGACGCGGCACCACTGGCAGACCCAAGGGCCCAGCCAACTCGGCCACGCCGAGACAAAGACGACCCATTCGACAACGGACGGGCCCCATGGGGACAGTAACGCGCCAGCACCTACCACAGCCAGCACCGCACCCCATCAGGGGACGGACCACAAACAAAAGTACCACTGGGACTCCCAGCCATAGCAGCTACCACGTGCTGCCAACAACCGATCTGCTCATCAGAAGGATGCTCCTCTGGATGGGCTCGAGACCAACCAACAAGCACCTCCGCAACATTCTACAGGCGCAATACACCTTCCCAGCATCGCCACTGGAAGGCATCGTTTCGCTGCGTCAACCTGCAACCCGCACCATTATCACCGACAGAAGCAATACCAACAGCGAGGATGCAATCTACGACACCAGGTACCCCTTCGTTCGATCCGACATCCAAGCGGTTACGGACACCAGCGAGGAGGAGCACTACCCTGATTACGACGATATGGACGCGAAGGCGGCGCTAACGGCGATGTTGGTTAACCGCGATGTTGAGAATCCGACGTTTGTGACGCCGACCTCGCGCAGAACACATTGTATGAAATCACGAACCACACTATCCTGCATGTTGAATGTGCGAGTGTATCGGGCGAAAACGATGCAGCGACATGTAAGAAAACGCGAACCACGCGCTCTTACAATTGGTTTGGCCACGAACCACGCCTTCCTACAATTGGTTTCCCTACTCCGCCGTTAGCTCACACACCGTTAGCGCGTTGACGGGGACTGCGCCAAGAAGAAGCACGACGCTTCAACTACAAGCAGCGACAGCCGCACAAACCTGCGGCACACCCGGCCGAGCGAGAACGAAGCTACTGCCATTAAACCGGAGGGCCCACGCCTGGCCGCCCACCCCGCTTGGCCCATCCCCCGCTCTCCTCCGAGAAGTGAGATGCTCCCGCCTGAGCTCTCCGAAGAAAGTAGAGGTCAAAACATCCCCCCCATACATACCACCCCGACGCGCGAAGTTGTTTAGCAAATGCGCCCGAAGAAGGAATCGAACAGGAAAAGGCTGTTTAGTAAGTGCCCAATGCCGTTTAGTATACGCCAATTGTCCAGTCCGGGTGGTTTTCCCTCCCTTGAGAAGGCAGACGAGGCGTCCACCACCCTCATTCCAAGATGGGACCTGCCAAACTGAGGCCCATCAGTGCACCATTCCTACTGCTCAGCTTACCGACTTGCTCCAACGAGAGCAGACGATCGAGCTCTCATACGACGAAGATGGACACCACCAGCTGCTCCTTCCCATCTCCGACCTCGGCACGATTCTTGCACCACACCGCCACACTCACTATCCGAACGGCAGCAGCAACAGCTGGGCATCCGTCTCAGCCTCCAACTCCTACTCTCACGGCGACGGCAGCATTGCCACATCTCTCACTAGCCCACGCGACGGCGCTTGACATCAATCATAGACTGCACTACGGCGTTGACCCCAAAGTCACGCTATACTGCGCAGTGGGTCCATATAACAGCCGCATCATAACCGCATGCTATGCCAACCACGTGCTGGTGAAAGGGACATTTGCCAATATTCGCTCCTTCCTGGCTCCACCTTCTCGTCTACAATGCCCACCTCACCTTTCACACCACGAACCTTCCACTGCCCATTCTTTGGAGCGGAAAGACAGAGACGCGGGACAGACGCGTTCACCGCCGGCCACCACGGCGAAGGCCCTGGCGGCCGTGACCTGGCCACACCAGCCAGCCAGCCACCTTTCAGCTCTCTTCCAGCCTGCGTGCCTTTCTCACTGCAAGCTCGTGCCACCAGTCGCGAGCGACGAACATATATTCACATCCATGCCCTCGCGGTCTGGATTCCGAGGCGCGAACCCATGGATACCCGACCCCACGTGACACAAACAGCCGTCGGATGGCACAGACCTTCTTTTACCTGGACTGGACCCCTCGGTTGCCCTCAGACGTGCCCATGGGAACCCTCCGCCCGTCTCAGCGAGTGAGGGGTTCCCTGGCCACGGCTGCGCTGACCTCAGAAGGATTGGGGCTGGGTGGATCATTACGTTGAGCGGCCGCGCCGCGCTCACACCGCTTGCGCCACACGGCCCTCCCCAACCGTACCGCCGCCACGCCGTCACCACATTCCCCCTTCTTCGAGGTTCTGGCCCCCCCCCCTTACTCCTCCTCCTCCTCCTCCTCCTCCTCCTCCTCCCTCCTCCTCCTCCTCTCTCCTCCTCCGCCTCCTCCTCCCTCCTCCCCTCCTCCTCCTCCTCTCTCCTCCTCCTCCTCCTCTCCTCCTCCTCCTCCTCCTCCTCCCTCCTCCTCCTCCTCCTCCTCCTCCTCCTCCGCCTCCTCCTCCTCCTCCTCCTCCTCCTCCTCCTCATCCTCCTCGCCCTCCTCCTCACTCCCCTCTCATCGCCAGCTATCATCTCACCGCCTGCTTCGTCCCCACAGCCGGCGACTGCAGGGGGGGCGACCGCCCCTGGAGTGGCCTGGCGTGCTGGTCTGATCCGCCCCCTTCTGGCGGGCAGACGCCCCTGACGGGGGGGGGGGGGGATGGCCGCGTCAGGATGGCCCACAAGTCGAGAGAGAGAGAGAGGAGCACAAGTCGAGAGAGAGAGAGAGACGAGGAGCGATGCAGCGAAGGAGCGTCGAAACTTTCGAAGGCTCCACGCGGAGCTCTTGGATCGGCGCTGGACCCCCCTCCCCTGGACCGCGCTGGGGGCGGCGCCAGGGGCGCCGCTGGAGGAGCACCCGATAAGTCCGCGTGGAGCCCTGGAAGTGCACGCTCACGCCGCCCGGCCCTTCGTCGAGGTCCGGGAAGAGGAGGAGCATCGGAAGGAGGACAGTGGACGAGGACAGGAGAGGATGCGCTCCGCTCTCCTCCTTGATCTTGGCCCACTTCTTCTTCCAGGGCGCCACGTACTTCGGGCCCCTGCGGTGGTCCTCCCCGCTCCTGTGGAGCTGGCACTCCTTCGTGACGTCCTCGGGAGGCGCAGCAGGACGAGGAAGATGTGGGGGAGGAGGGGGCAGGGCAGGCCTCGGAAGGCCCCCCCCCGCAACACATGAAGGCAACCCCAAGAGGCCAAGAAGAGGCCCCCAAACGGCACCCAAGAGGCCTCCAAATGACAGTGTCCGTTTGGAGTAGAGTGTGGGGCTTGTCAGACGAAAGAACGGCGCCACCACGCGTCGACGACAGCGCCCACGGGAGGAGAACGCAACCATGGCTCCCAAGGGGTCGGCGGCGCGGCGGAAGCCACCGAATGAGGTCTGAAAAATGCCGCGAACGGAAGGCCCTCCCAAATCGCCCAAATAACCGCACTGGATCGGCTCTCGGATCCGCCCAATAGGGGGGGGGATTTCATGACACCCTTGCGGCAAGATGTCCTGCGCAGCTCTGCACATCTCTCGGCGGCGAGCAAGGGGGCGAAGTGAGAAGGAGAAGGCCTTCTCAGCAGGCGGCGGGACTCCTCAGAAGCCCTCGCGCCTTCTGAGAAGTCTTCTGTGTCTTCGGGGGAAGCTTAGAAAACTTCTAGTAGGATATCTTCGAGTAGGAGATCGAGTACAATGTGTCTTCGAGAACACTGTTACTCGAACGGTGGCCCGCCGCCTTCGGGGCGCCCGGGCCCGTCGTGGCGCCGTGCCAGCCCGGCGGGGCGCTGCAGACGTCGGGGGCGGCGAGCCCTGGCCCCGCGCGCCGGCGCGCCGCCATCGGGCCAGGCGAGAGGGGAGGACACAGCAGGGTGGGGGGGCCCACAGCATCAACATCTTCGGAATCCTGAAGATCTCCTCCATAAAATCTAGATGTTCCTCCATCCTTGGCGCAGATTCTAAAGATTTCTTTTGAATCAGAGTCGAACAAGCATCTACATCTTCAGAAAAGCTCATGCAAAGGGTGAACTCTTAAAGATTTGCTAAATCTTCAGAAAGAAAAAGAAGAAACAAACTCATGCAAAGGGGTGAGGAGTCAGCTCACGTAGCTGATTTTCCCGGCGCCCCCTGGCGCCGGGAGGCGCCCGCGTATCGAAGGATGGGCCCCGCGACGGGGCCGAGACCAGCTGCATGCAGCAGCTTTCGTACACTGCCCCCCCCCTTCCCCTGTCCCCCCCTTGCGTTCGGCCCGACACCAGTCGTGCCACCAGCCACGGGCAGGGAAACGGGGGGGAGGAGCCCCGAGCTCCGCCGCTCCAAGAAAAACAAAAACTGGAACAGGTGGTTTGGGGCCTGTTGGGGCCTCCGGGGGCCCTCGCCGGACCTCGGGAGCGTCAACAAACGACTCTGGACGAAAAGTCGGCCCTGGGGAAGTGGTCAGGACCTCTGGGGCCCACGCACCGAAAACATTGGAGCAGCCAGATGTCTGGGGAGGGGGAAGGCACTCTTCCGCGACGTCCTCCAGTGACGCGGGGTGGTCGTCGAAGCCAATGAGGCCACCGACGTCGAAGCGGCCGAGCGCGCTCATCTTGCGGACGGCGACGTTCAAGTGCTCCTGGTGCAAGAGGGGGGAAAAGGGGTGGAGGAGGAGGAGGAGGAGGAGGAGGAGGAGGAGGAGGAGGAGGAGGGGGAGGAGGAGGAGGAGGAGGAGGAGGAGGAGGACGACGACGAGGTGAAGGTTACGCGCCGTGGGGGGGGGGGGGGGCGAGTCGGCGAGTCCGAGTGGCACGAGCGGCAGGTGGCCTGAGCGGCCGAAATGCCTCTGCGTACCTCTGGATGCACGGCCGCGCAGCTGACTGCCTTACGGCCTGCCCGGAGCGCCTCGCGGGCCTTGGCCGAGCGGGCAACCCGCGGCAGGGCGCTCCTGGGCCCCTCGCCTCGGAGCCAGAAAAGCGCGGCGCCGCTGCGGCCGCCTTCCCGGGCCGGCGCGGCGGGCCTGCGCGAGGGGGGGGCTATCTTCTGATACACCTCGAACCACAAGCTCCCACCCATGCAGATGGATGCGTCTCATCATGCTGAGTGCATCGGTGCAGATCAGAGCGGTGTAGCTTGCTTCCTGCTTAAGTTGAGCTCACGAGGCCATTACCATCTGGAAAAACGCATCCCGACGGCCGACGGTTGCTCCTAACTGCCGAGTGCCACGCCGAGGCTCTGGCCTCCACGATGCCGCACCACCCGGCGGGGAGCGCGGGGGGCCTACGCCGCCCCGATAGGCGCGGCCGCGCACGCGGGCACGAGGGGCATGCGAACCCTACCCCTACCCCCCACGATTTCTGAGCCCCCGGAGGAAGGGGAGGGAGGAGCAGCGCCGAGCGGAGGAGACCGAACGGAAGAGCGGACGACGACGGCCCAAGGAGGCGAAGGGGGGGGGGGGGGAACCTCGTCCACCCCAAAGGGTCGCGGGTACGCCCAGGGACCCGACGAGCCCGTCGTGCACGACGCGCCACATATGCGCAGGGCTCTGCATCCCAGATTATTGTGCGACGCGCCAAATAGGGAACCGACCTCTATGCACCCACGCTTTTTCTGGACCTGCACTGGAATTCGCACAGGAAAGCGGATCCTGGTGTATACGGGACCCTGGTGTATACATGTTTCGTGGTTTCCCCGGGGAAGCGAGGAAATATGTATACACCACACCACCCCGACGTCGTCCCCGACCCTCAGTCCTGGGATTGAAAACCAGTCCGCCACTGGTAATCAATGCATATGTTCAAATTTCCTACGGTTCGTGACCTCACTTCGCAATTACAACCGAACGATCACATTACTTTGGTCTCTTTCGGGCACTTTCAATACGGCGTGCTCCTCGTCCGCCACCGTGCCGCTGGGCACAGAGTGGGCGTCTCCCCAGGTCCTTTGCCCAATCCCCTGATTCTCGGTCCTCGATCTGAAAGTTTCTTAAAGGGCGCGGGCCCCAATTTCTCAAATCTTCCGCTGTTTGGCGCGTGCCCCCCAGGGTTGCTGGCAACTTGTCGCATGATTTTGTTCGGGCCCGCGGTGGCCCCAAGAGGGGCCAAGAGGGCCACAGGCGGACCCGAAGATGGGCCAAGAGGGCCCCAAGAAGCCCTAAGATCGTCCCAAGACGCTCAGCATGGCCTCGAGACGGCACCCAAAGGCCCCCCAAACGCCCCAACAGGCTTCCGAAAGGCCCCCCGAAAGGCCAACACCATTGAGTTTCAGAAGGTTTTTGAACGATGTTGTCTTTCTCGCCTTTTCGGCTTTTGGACGCTTCAAGACTGCCCTAGAAGCCCCCAAGATCGCCCCAAGACGGCCCAAGAGGCCTCCGAGAGGGCTGACTTGGGGAAGGCCCCAAGACGGCCCTGGAAGCCCCAACAACGGCTCCAAGAGGAGATCCGGATGGGGGACCCGAGCGGACATTTCGAGCACTCGGCCCAAAGGGCCCCCAGGAGACCCCAAGAGGCCCCCCAAAAGCCCCCAAGAGGCACCAAGATGCCCCCACGAGGCCCCAAGAGGCCCCTAACAGGCCCCCAAAAGGCTCCCAAGAGGCCCCGAAACTGCTCTGAAGAGACCCCCAAAAACATCACTGAGAACTCTGGCCCGCAACCCAAGCACGGTGGCGGGATGGGCCGAAGGCCGTTAGATCCGCCGCCCCCTGCTTGCAGGGGTGCACGGCGTGCTGGATGATTCAGGTTTTGGTTTTGGTTCTTTTTCTAAAAGAACTCCCCAATGGGCTTCGGCCCGTCCCGCCGGCCACCCGCAAATTGCCCAAAACCCATCTCTCAATGCCCAAAAACGGCCGTTTCGCTCGGGACATCCTCAAAAAATCGCGAAGATGGCCCAAGATGGCCTCCAAGTCCGCCCGAGATGGTCCAAGACGGCCTCCAAAACGGCCCAAGAGAGTCCAAGACGGCCCAAGACGGCCCAAGAGGCCCCCCAGAGGCCTCCCAGACGGCCCAAGAGGCCTCCAAGAGGTCCTCCAGGAGAGTCCGAAGAGGCCAAAATCATTGATTTTCCCTTGGTTTTTGAAGGATTTTGGCATTTGCGCCTTTTCGGCTCTCCGACGGCTCAAGACGGCCCAAGAAGCCCCCAAGATCGCCCAAGAGGCCCCCAAGAGAGCCCCATGATGGCCCAAGTGGCCTCCAAGATGGCCCCTAGAGGGCCCCAAGAGGGCCCAAGAGGCCTCCAACACGCCCAAGATGGCCTCCAAGACGCCCAAGATGGCCTCCAAGACGGCCCTGGAGCATTCCAAGCGGGCCCCAAGTCGGCCCATAGAGGCCCCCCAAACGGCTTCCGACGGCTTCAGACGTGCCAGGAACCCACCAAGATGGCCGAAGTTGGCTCGAAGCTGGCCCGAGACGGCCCAAAAAGCCCCAAAGATCGCCCAAAGCTTGCCCAAGAGGCCTCCAAGACGGCCAAGATGACCTTCAAGATGCCCACGTGTTCCCCGAAGGCTTTCCAAACCGATTCGGGGAACACGTGGTCCGATAGCTTGGCAGGTCTGGCCTCAACGTTCGGCCACATAGGCGCTTCCAAAAAGGCAGGGGGCGGCGGTGATTCGCCGTAGGCGTCTTCGATCCGCCGCCCCCTGCTTGCAGGGGTGCACGGCGTGCTGGACGTTTCAGGTTTTGGTTTTGGTTCTTTTTCTAAAAGAACTCCCCAGTGGGCTTCGGCCCGTCCCGCCGGCCACCCGCAAATTTCAGAAAATCCGTCTGTCAATGCCCAAAAACGGCCGTTTCGCTCGGGACATCCTCAAAAAATCGCGAAGATGGCCCAAGATGGCCTCCAAGTCCGCCCGAGATGGTCCAAGACGGCCTCCAAAACGGCCCAAGAGAGTCCAAGACGGCCCAAGACGGCCCAAGAGGCCCCCCAGAGGCCTCCCAGACGGCCCAAGAGGCCTCCAAGAGGTCCTCCAGGAGAGTCCGAAGAGGCCAAAATCATGATTTTCCCTTGGTTTTTGAAGGATTTTGGCATTTGCGCCTTTTCGGCTCTCCGACGGCTCAAGACGGCCCAAGAAGCCCCCAAGATCGCCCAAGAGGCCCCCAAGAGAGCCCCATGATGGCCCAAGTGGCCTCCAAGATGGCCCCTAGAGGGCCCCAAGAGGGCCCAAGAGGCCTCCAACACGCCCAAGATGGCCTCCAAGACGCCCAAGATGGCCTCCAAGACGGCCCTGGAGCATTCCAAGCGGGCCCCAAGTCGGCCCATAGAGGCCCCCCAAACGGCTTCCGACGGCTTCAGACGTGCCAGGAACCCACCAAGATGGCCGAAGTTGGCTCGAAGCTGGCCCGAGACGGCCCAAAAAGCCCCAAAGATCGCCCAAAGCTTGCCCAAGAGGCCTCCAAGACGGCCAAGATGACCTTCAAGATGCCCACGTGTTCCCCGAAGGCTTTCCAAACCGATTCGGGGAACACGTGGTCCGATAGCTTGGCAGGTCTGGCCTCAACGTTCGGCCACATAGGCGCTTCCAAAAAGGCAGGGGGCGGCGGTGATTCGCCGTAGGCGTCTTCGATCCGCCGCCCCCTGTGGTCTTGCACAGGGGTGCACGGCGTGCTGGACGAGTCAGGTTTTGGTTTTGGTTCTTTTTCTAAAAGAACTCCCCAATGGGCTTCGGCCCGTCCCGCCGGCCACCCGCAAGTTTCCGAAAATCCGTCTGTCAATGCCTTTGTTGCCCCAACTTGGCCCAAGATGGCCTCCAAGACGGCCAAGATGGCCCAAGATGGCCTCCAAGATGCCTCCCAGACGGCCAAGATGGCCTCCAAGACGGGTAAGATGGCTCCAAGATGCCTCCAAGACGGCCCAAGATGCCCTCCAAGACGGCCAAGATGGCCCCAAGATGCCTCCAAGATGGCCCAAGAGGCCTCCAAGACGTTCTCCAGGAGAGCCCGAAGAGGCCAAAATCATTGGTTTTCCTTAGGTTTTGAAGGTTTTTTGCGTTTTCTTCTTTTCGGCCTTCCGACGGCCCAAGAGGCCCCCAAGATCGCCCAAGAGGCCTCCAAGAAGGCCCTATGACGGCCCAAGGGCCCCCCAAGACGGCCCCAAGAGCGCCCCAAGACGGCCCAAGAGGCCTCCAAGACGCCCAACATGGCCTCCAAGACGGCCCTGAAGCGCCCCAAGAGGGCCCCAAGACGGCCCAGAGAGGCCCCCAAGACGGCTCCAGACGGCGTCAGACGGACCAGGAACGCCCTAAGACGGCCAAAGAGACCCCCAGGAAGCCCCCAAAGGCCCCCAAGAGGCCCAAGGAGGCCCCCAAGATGCCTCCAAGAGGCCTCGAAGAGGCCCCCAAGAAGCCCCCAACAGACCCCAAGGGTGCCCCAAGAGACTCCTAACAACCCTCATCCTCCTACTCTATTTCTTCCTCTTCCTCTTCCTGTTCATAATCATTCTCTCCCATGTGTTCCCCGAAAGCTTTCCAAACCGACTCGGGGAACTCATGGTCCGATAGCTTGGCCAAGCTCTAGTCCAACTTTCGGCCACATCGGCGTTTCCAAAAAGGCAGGGGGCGGCGGTGATTCGCCGTAGGCGTCTTCGATCCGCCGCCCCCTGTCGATTCATCGCAGGGGTGCCTGGCGTGCTGGATCCTATCGGTTTTGGTTTTGGTTCTTTTTCCAAAAGAACGCCCCCTGGGGCTTCGGCCCGTCCCGCCGGCCACCCGGAAACTGCATCAGTCAATGCCAAAAACGGCCGTTTCGCTCGGGACATCCTCAAACAATCGCGAAGATGGCCCAAGATGGCCTCCAAATCCGCCCGAGATGGTCCAAGACGGCCTCCAAGACGGCCCAAGAGAGTCCAAGACGGCCCAAGAGGCTTCCAAGACGGCCCAAGAGGCCTCCAAGAGGTCCTCCAGGAGGGCCCGAAGAGGCCAAAATCATTGATTTTCCTTGGGTGTTTGAAGGATTTTGGAATGTGCTTCTTCTCGGCATTCCGACGACTCAAAACATCCCAAGAGGCCCCCAAGATCGCCCAAGAGGCCCCCAAGAGGGCCCCATGACGGCCCAAGTGGCCTCCAAGACGGCCCCAAGAGGGCCCCAAGAGGGCCCCAAGACGGCCCAAGAGGCCTCCAACACGCCCAAGGTGGCCTCCAAGACGCCCAAGATGGCCTCCAAGACGGCCCCGAAGCGTCCCAAAAGGGCCCCTAGTCGGCCCAGAAAGGCCCCCAAGACGGCTCCCGACTCCTCCTCCATGGTTCCCCTTCTCCTCATTACCCGCCTCCTCATCCACATGTTCTCGAAGTGTTTCCACCACGGCTGGGGGAACGCATGGCCCAACAGCTTGGGGCCAAGCTTTGCCCAAACGTTTGGCCACATAGGCGTATCCTAAAAGGCAGGGGGCGGCGGTGATTCGCCGTAGGCGTCTGAAATATCAGCTGCAATCGATCCGTTCCTTCTGAGCTATCCAAAGGCGTCCGATAAGTCATCAAACATCTGCTCGAGTGCAATATCCTGTTTTCTTGTCAATCCAGGTCTGCTTGACAAGCCCATTCGCTTGTCATTGAGCTCGACCATGAGTTCAAAATCGTTTGCAGCCGCCGAGAAGGCAACGTCTTCTTCCCAATGTTCCGATCCATAGATCCGCTGACCACATCGTGTTTCGTCTCTCCTCGATCACGGCACGGCGCATGAAAACCTAATATGTTGCCGGGCGACCAATTTCTCATCTTCAGTTTGGGAATTGATAGCATGAGCGCGCTCTTTACCAGTGTTTTCTCTGGTTCAAATTACCCTCCCTGCCCGGGAGAAACAGCCAGACAAGTCGGGTGTGCACCCTCATGCCTTGCTGTGTCTAGAGCCCGCCTCAGGAAGTCAGGCAGACCAGTCGGGTTTGTACCCTCAAGCGCTGTTTGGTACAAGGGCAGGGATTCAAACCCAGGGGAAGGCTCCAGTCTTGTTGCTGCCAGTCTGTGCAAACTCTGCTTTTGCGCGTGCCTTTTAATCGCAGCCCTCTGCTGGCAGATGCTGTCTCTTGAGCAAAGGTCACGCAAACATCATACGATATGGAAAGCGGCACATTGCGAGACACGATGCACAGCAAGCGGTAGTAAAGTATGTCGTGTCTTTGTTCCTTCTCCCCTGGTCAAGGCAGACGCTGACTGCGGGGAGCGCGTTCCTAATACATCGTGCAAGCTGAGGGCGAAGCCGGTTCTCCCTGATCGCTTCACGGCGGCGGCTTGGAGGACGAGGAAGAGAAGGATAATGACAAGGTTGGATGATGATGAAGAGAAGGGGATCCGCGGGGGGAGGGTCGAGAAGCAGCTGTGGGGGGAGGGGGCGGGGAGGACGATCGGAGGAGGATGGAAGAGGAGGATGGAGAGGGATGAGGCTGGATTGGGATGACGTGGAAGGTTGTAGGCGGGACCAAAGCGTTCTCGGCTTCTTAAACAAGTATCTGAGATGTGGAAAGCCGTGGGGAAATGTAGGCAGGGGTTGTTGGGGTTCGAAGGACAGGGGCAGAAGGCAGGAAGGGGGAGAATGGAGGGAAGGGGTGAAGAGAAGGGAAGAAAAGCACCGGTCGGTCGGAAGCAGTCGGTAAAAACATGAAGGAGGAAGGCGGATAAAGTAGGTTGGGTTCGGGCCCTCCCAGAGAATAACAAAACACATCAGAAACACATCGATTCTTGAAGTTGGAAAGCGCTAGAAGTAGATTGGGATCTGGGCTTCCGATAATACCTGCTTTCAACGACCAGCGTGCGGAAGGGAGAGAGGAGAAAGAACCCGGGACTCCTGGTACTGGAGGTCCTGTCGGATGATGATTCTGGTTCCCTCGGTGTTCCTCTTGTCCCGCACGACGACCTCAAACTGTCCGGCAACGGTCGGGAACTCGGGGCCCCTGTACTTCTGCCGACAGCAGAAGAGCAGAAGTCCGAAGCAAGAGTTGCAAACCGTCGGAGGTCCGCGCAAACGTTTCGTCAGCGCTGAGTCCCCCTCACCACACTCTGGCCCAAGCACGTGGAGCGCGTTGGGGGGATGCGTGATAAGATGGCCTAGCTCCGACCCGAGAAATCAGCGCGGACCTCAGGACACGTGGTGCTTTTGACGGGCTCGGCTCTTCTGCATGGTTGGTCCACTGCTGCTTCTTGACGACGATCTCATAATCGCTGTTGTTGGCCAGCACGTGTTGGTAGTCGCCCCAGTCGGTAATGAGCCCGTGGTCTCTCAGCCGTCCCAGGGGGCCCCAGACTTCAGGCGGATTGATCCATTGCCGTCGTAACGTTTTTTCGGGCGTGGCCAGAGCAGTTCCCCGGGAGGTGGACTGCATTGGCTGGCTGACTGACTGGTCGAACCCGGTGGGCGGCCATTGTAGATTCGGCCGCCCAACGGTGAAGGGGTCCAGACCGATGGGACCGTTCTGGTGTCGGCCGCAGAGTGCGCAACCTATGTCACAAGCACCAGGTGTCCGTGTTAGTTGGGGCCGCCGAGTGCGCAACCTAGGACGCAAGCGCCCGCGAGCCATTTTAGTTTCGGCCGTCGAGTGCATAATCCATGGATGGCGCAACCCATGGCGTAACCCAGAGATGATGCAACCTATGGCGCAATCGATGGGTCGCGAAACCCATGGCGTACAACATGGGTTGCGCACGCCCCTGGCAGGCCCTGCGGGGCTACGCCCGACTTCCGCTTGCTTTTTGGGCTGGCGGTGGTGCACAGGCGGCGAGCTGCGAGCTGCCTTATGATGAGTTTCTTTCGTCCTCCAGGGGCCGCTTTTGAAACCTGTGGGCACCATTAAATATATTTATATGTGTGTGTATACATATATAGACTTCCCTTGGGGAAGGGGTCGAGACCTCGGGAGCCTGCGAGTTTACAAAACAATCCGCCTGAGGTCAATCTTGTTTATCGCCAGGTGAGGCTAATTTTTGGCCTGAGCGGGGAACGGATTGTCCGTTCTCCCCCTTACCCCTGCCCCAAGTTCCGAAACGAGGGGCTCCTCGCCGAAGCTCTCGGACGCGCCATCGCCGCAGCAGAGCCCGGCCGAGCGACCCTGGAGCCC